CCTGGGATGAAGCCTACTTGGTCGTGGTGAATAATCTTTTGATGTGTTGTTGAATTCGGTTTGCCATTATTTTGTTGAGGATTTTGCATCAATGTTCATTAAGGAGATTGGCCTATAGTTCTCCTTTTTGGAGGTGTCTTTGCCTGGTTTTGGGATAAGTGTAATACTGGCTTCATAAAATGTGTTTGGCAGTTTTCCTTCCCTTTCTATTTCGTGGAACAGTTTAAGGAGGGTTGGTATCAGTTCTTCTTTAAAGGTCTGATAGAATTCAGCAGAGAATCCATCAGGTCCTGGACTTTTCTTTTTGGGGAGACTCTTGATTGCTGCTTCAATTTCATTTTGTGTTATAGTCTATTCAGGTGATTAATTTCCTCTTGGTTCAGTTTTGGATGATCATATGTATCTAGAAATCTGTCCATTTCTTTAAGATTTTCAAATTTATTTGAATATAGGTTCTCGAAGTAGTCTCTGATGATTTCCTGGACTTCCATGGTGTTTGTTGTTATCTCCCCTTTTGCATTCCTGATTCTACTAATTTGGGTTTTTTCTCTCCTCATTTTAGTCAGGTTTGCCAGGGGTCTATCGATCTTGTTTATTTTTTCAAAGAACCAACTTTTTGTTTCATTAATTCTTTGTATGGTTTTTTTGGTTTCTATTTTTTGATTTCAGCTCTTATTTTTATTATTTCTCCTTCTATTTGTTTTGGGATTTGCTTGTTCTTTTTTTCTAGGAGTTTGAGATGTATCATTAGGTCATTGATTTGGGATCTTTCAGTCTTTTTAATATATGCACTCATGGCTATAAACTTTCCTCTCAGGACTGCCTTTGCTGTGTCCCATAGGTTCTGGTAGGTTGTGTTTTCATTTTCATTGACTTCCAGGAACTTTTTAATTTCCTCTTTTATTTCATCAATGACCATTGTTCATTAAGTAATGAGTTATTTAGTTTCCAGCTGTTTGCATGTTTTTTGTCTTTACTTTTTGTTGAGTTCTATTTTACTGCATTGTGATCAGATAGTGTGCACGGTATAATTTCTATTTTCTTATATTTGCTGAGGCTTGCTTTGTGCCCTAGGATATGATCTATTTTGGAGAAGGTCCATGGGCTGCTGAGAAGAATGTATATTGTGTAGAAGTTGGATGAAATGTTCTGTAGACATCAACTAGGTCCATTTGATCTATTGTATATTTTATTTCTTGGATTTCTTTATTGATTTTTTGTTTGGGTGACCTATCTATTGATGATAAAGGGGTGTTAAAGTCTCACACCATCCACTGAGTTGGAGTTAATATATGCTTTTAGGTCTTTCAGGGTATGTTTGATGAAACTGGGTGCGTTGACATTGGGTGCATATAGGTTGATGATTGTTATTTCCTTTTGGTCTATTTCCCCTTTTTTTAGTATGGAATGTCCTTCTTTATTTCGTTTGATCAATGTAGGTTTGAAGTCTACTTTGTCAGAGATAAGTATTGCTACTCCTGCCTGTTTTCGGGGACCATTGGCTTGGTAAATTTTCTTCCAGCCTTTCATCCTTAGCCTATGCTTCTTTGTGTCGGTGAGATGGGTCTCCTATAAGCAACAAATTGTTGGATCTTACCTTTTAATCCATTTCATCAAGCGGTGCCTTTTGATGGGTGAATTAAGTCCGTTAACATTAAGTGTTAGTACTGATAGGTATGTGGTGATTCCTGTCATTTAGTTGTCTTAGTTGTTTGAAGGTTTGATTGTGTGTACCTAAGTTGAGGTTACTCTCTACTGTCTTGCTTTTTCTTTTCCTGTGGTTTGGTGCTGCCTGTCTTTCATGGTTAAGTTGGGTTTCACTTTCTGTGTGCAGAATCCCTTGAAGAATCTTTTGTAGTGGTGGCTTTGTGGTCACATATTGTTTTAGTTTCTGCTTATCATGGAAGACTTTTATTGCTCCATCTATTTTGAATGATAGTTTTGCTGGGTAGAGTATCCTGGGGTTGAAGTTATTTTCATTCAGTGCCCGGAAGATCTCACCCCACGCTCTTCTTGCTTTTAATGTTTCTGTTGAGAAGTCTGCTGTGATTTTGATGGGTTTACCTTTGTATGTTACTTGTTTTTTCTCTCTTACAGCCTTCAATATTCTTTCCTTAGTTTCTGAACTTGTTGTTTTAATGATGATATGTCGTGGGGTAGTTCTATTTTGATCTGGTCTGTTTGGTGTCCTGGAGGCCTCTTGCATCTGTATGGGAATATCTTTCTCTAGATTTGGGAAATTTTCTTTTATTTTGTTGAAATATTACGCATTCCCTTCTTGCACCTCTTCTCCTTCTTCATGCCCATGATTCTCAAGTTTGGTCTTTTGATGGAGTCGTGAGTTCTTGCATTTTCTTTTCACAGGTCTTGAGTTGTTTAATTAATAGTTCTTTGGTTTTTCCTTTAATTACCATTTCATCTTCAAGTTCTGAGATTCTGTCTTCTGTTTGTTCTATTCTGCTGGATTGGCCTTCCGTTTTGTTTTGCAGTTCTGTTTCGTTCTTTTTTCTGAGGTTTTCCATATCCTGGTGGTTTCCTCTTTAATGTTGTCTATTTTTGTCCTGAGTTCATTTATCTTTTATTATCGTGTTCTCTGTTTCACTTTGGTATTTATACAGTGCTTCTATGGTTTCCTTTATTTCTTCTTTTGCTTTTTCAAATTCTCTATTTTTGTTGTCTTGGAATTTCTTGAGTGTCTCCTGTACATTTTGGTTGACCCTATCCAGTATCATCTCTATAAAATTCTCATTGAGTACCTTGTAGTATGTCTTCTTTTAAATTATTCTTGTGGGCTTCATTGGGTCCTTTGGCATAGTTTATCTTCATTTTGTTGGAGTCTGGATCTGAGTATCTGTTTTCTTCATTCCCTCTGGTTCCTGTACTAATTTTTTGCTGTGGGGAAACTGGTTTCCCTGTTTTTTCTTTCTTCCCGTCATTGTCTTTGGTGTTGTTACTGTCCCTGTACTGTGTGCAATTAAGTATTTTCTAGCTTGTAATAAAACAATGGATATTTAGAATGGAAGGGTGAGCTGAGATGGAAAGCAAGAAGTTAAAGAAAGGGAAAACAAATACACAGACAGGGAAAACAGAACAAGGTAGACAAGAAAGTTTCAAAGGTATAAACAGGGAGCTTAGTGTACTAATTGACAGTAAGCTGAACAGGCATTAGAGAGACAGAGAGGATTGAAAATAAAAAATAAAAAAAAATAAGAATAAAAATAAAATAGTAAATGAAAGAAATATCTATATAAAAATAAAATAAAATAAAATGAAAAAGAAATTAAAAAAAAAAAAAACAAAAATCCAAGTTCAAATGCAATGAAGTTTCAGTCTTAATTTTGGGTGTTCTCAGTCTGAGTTTCTCAATAATGGGTGTCCATCTCAGTGTGTTCTCAGTCTAATGTCTCTCAGATGTGCTATAAAAGTGACCAAAACACACGCACACACACACACACACACACACACACACACACACCAAGTGTCCCAAGTTCAAATGCAATACAGTTTCAGTAAGTTTTTTATCATGCAGGTGTAATTCGGTTGTTCTCTCATCAAAGGTAGGGAGAAAAAGAGAAAAAAAACAAAACAAAGAGTCTGGAGAGAGTTCTGACAATGGTATCTGCAGCTGAGGCTTGCCTGCCTGCTGCTGTCAACCTGCTGTTGCTGGAGGCATTATTTATGCAGATCTCTGGGGTGAGTTCAGCACTCACCTGGCCCTGCAGGCTTTGTTTACTCAGAGTTTTCCTGTGAGCATCTGCTACAAGCTTTCCCCTTTCCAAACACTGGGAAAGGTGACACTGCACCCACGTTCTCAGGTCTGCGTGTTTATTTACAGTTCATGTGGGAAGTGGGTCTTCCCTGCTCTCCTGTGCAGTTTTCTTTCCACTGCCACTTTTACAGGCTTTCCTGCTCCTGATTACTGGGCAGTGCTACTGCTCCTACCAGCCGCCATGTTTGTTTACAGCTCATGTGGGAAGTGGGTCTTCACTCCTCTCCTGTGGAGTTTTCCTCCCTCTGCCACTCTCACAAGCTTTCCTGCTCCTGGTTGCTGGGCGCGCCCCCCCGCTCCCACCAGAGCCTCTCCGGCCTGCCTGGCTTGTTTATTTACAGTCCTGGGAAGGATTCCCTTCCCCCAATCTTCAGCGCTCAGTACGCCCCACCCTCTTTCCCACGTGTCTTTATTGTTCTTATTACTTATTACTCAGTTTCTCTTTTTTCCCCGGGTGGGGGTCAGTCTGTCCAGGGGCTATGCTGCTCTGGCCCAGGCTTGTCTGTGGGAGTACCGTGGTACCGCTAAGCTCACCTTGTCCACGTCTTCCCAAGCTGTCTGGGCGCGGGTGACTGGCGGCCCCGGGGCCCTCTTTGTTTCTCCGTTTAACGTGAAGTGGAGATTCTCTGTGCCAGCCGGAGGTGTGGAGGGGTCAAAGTTTTGCCTCTTCTCAGTGATTATGCCTGCAAAGTGTGTCTCCAGCATCTCTCCAAGATTTCACTATTGGAGGTTCGCTTTCTGCTTCCTCCCTCTAACTGCCATCATCTTGGAATCTTCCACAACTAACTTTTTGAAAAGAGGAGCACTCTTGATTTAGGCACAGCCTCTTTTTGCCATCTCGAATCAAAGAGCTCATGCCAGCGCCCCACTGTGCACACAGCCACCCCATTACCACCCACCTGGGAAGGTTAGTGGTGATGCCCTTCTGGGCTGACTTCCCGCACACACATTCCAGTCGTGTGGAGGTAGAATTGTGACTGATGTAGTTCTTGACTCTGGGAACACAACCTGTTTCACTAGCACTCAAAGCCTGTGTCTTGCTTAAGTAACAGGGTCACATCCACAGATGAACCTTATGCTGGGCACTGTCCTGGGCCTGGTACCTGTGGCTGCACACCCTAGCCCTGTGTTTCTGTGTGCGGTTGAGATCCCTGTGGTTTCCATGGAGTGCATGAAATCACTGCAAGCCCATGTGTCTGTCCTGATACCTGGTGCCATTGCTCTTTTGTAGGTCCTGTTCCGAGCAAGTGGTGGCAAGCCCATTGCTGTGCTCTGCCTGACTGTGGAGCCCCAGCCCCATGTGGTAGACCAGGTCTTCCGCTTCTACCACCCTGAGCTCACCTTCCTGAAGAAAGCCATCCGCCTGCCTCCCCGGCACGCGCTTCCAGGCAGGTTCCCTGCATTCCTGGTGGCTGGTGTTTTGCAGGTTCAGCTGACTGGAAAAGGCATCTCCCCAAGGTGGCCAGTGTCATGACAGTGCTGTCACAGCCCTGTGTCGCAATGTTGTACATTCTGTTTTTTGCCTGTGTAGTCTGAAGTGGAGACGTTCTGCCTCCTCTGATGTGATTCCATCCCTGTAAATTTCATGGCTCTGCTGGCCCGGGTCTGTCGCTGACAGATCTGCTTCCTCCCCACAGCTGACCGTTTTCTTTCGGGGCCCTTAGAACCCAGTGAAGTCCTTTGTGCTTAGTGACACCCGTGGGGTTTTTTTTTTGTCGCTCCCTGTGGATGACTCCTTGAAGAGGGCCACGAAGCGTGCCAGGTCCACTTCCCTGCAGGCCTCACATGCATCACACTGGGCTGAGGTGGCAGTGCTGTGTATTTCTCCCATTCCAGGTGCTCCCATGGGGATGCCTGGTGAGGACCCCCCAATCCACGTTCGATGCAGTGACCCGAATGTCATTTGTGAAGCCCAAAACATGGTATGTTGTGTTGGCCCTATCTTGGGCAGGTCCTCCCAATGAGTCCCTGCCTGTGCCCTCCGCCTCTGCTCTCCCGCAGCCTTTTCATTTCAGGGTTTAGGCTAAGTAGTTTCTTTCCAAGGTGTTGAAGCGCTATTTTGACATCCTTAGGAGAGCTTTGCAAATAGGTTTTAATTTTTCCTGCTAGTAGATCAGTTCCTTGATGATCTGAATTTAAGAAAAGACATGAAGCAAAGTGAATAAAGGGGGTGGTAATTAAGGCACTTACTAATAACCATTGTGCCAAAGGGTAATGGCAGTAATGGTGTCATGACTGGTTAGGAAACTAGATAAAACCTGTAGAATATAATTATTTAAATCAATATAAAATCAAGAAGCTAATGATTTTCTCTTGCAGTGAGCAAAATAGTGAATGCTGACTGGTACAGAAAATTGCACATCTGACGGGGGAGGCGCTGCTCACATGTGCCTTTGCCTCATGCAGCTGTAGGTAGAGATTGTGGGCAGCCCTGGCATTGACATGCCCCACACCTGCTTTCAGGGCCCTGGGGAGCCACGGGACGTGTTTCTGAAGGTGGCCAGTGGTCCAAGCCCAGAGATCAAAGACTTCTTTGTCATCATTTATGCGTAAGTATGGAGACATTGGGGAGAGGATGGCAGTCTGGGTCTGTTGGTGGTCTGAGGATCCAGACCCATCCCCACGCTGGGGGCAGGTGACGGTGCTTTGTGAAGTGCAAGACTGATGCATAGTGACCAGCTCTGGGGCCAGCAGGGCCCTAGAGAGGCCAGGCTCTGTTCCAGACAGGCATCATGGCTGAGAGATGGGACGTGCTTCATGATGTCCAAGGACAGGCTGGGACAGGCTCGCTCCAGAGCCAGCCCAGGAGGACCATGGCTCTCAACTCTCCCCACCAAGCTCTGTGCTGAACTCCTGACGGACTCCAGCTTGGCCCTTCCTGGGTGCCGCCATTATCCTTTCACCTGAAGGCGACGATCAAGTCGCCCTTTACTTCTCCCATCCAGTGTTAGCTTTCCCCTTGCTATGAGAGAAGGCCTGCCATGAACAATCTAAAAGGAGGAGAGATTCTTTTAGTCCATGGTTCAGAGGTTTTGGTCCATTGTGGCTGGCTCTGTTCTGGGCCTATTGTGCAGCAGAACGTCATGGCAGTGGGAGCGTGTGGATGGAGGCTGTGTACCTCACAGTGGACAGGAAGCAGAACTGCATAATAACAGAAAGGAGGCCCAAGGACACACATCTGCTTTCAGATCCAACCAGGCCTCACCTCCCTTTCACCATCATACTATGAATCCATCCAGGAACTGTCCGCTGATTAGGTCTGAACCTCTTATGAGCTAATTATCTCTGGAAAGGCTCTCACAGACACACCCAGAGGTGCCTCACTAATCTAGGCAATTCTCATACCAGTTGAGTTGACAGTCAAGATGAATCCTTACACAGTTAGTTTAATGACTCCAGTCCCTTTGCTGTTTCCTCACAGTCCCTTCTTAAAGCCCTTTGGAGCCCCTTTAAAATGGGGGCGGGCTGGAAGGTTTCCTGCAGGGCTTCTGAGAACAGGGGTGGGGGTAAGCTGCATTCAAGGCTGAGGGGGCTGCACCAGAATCTGTCTTGCGGTGATTCCTCTGGCAGCCCATAAAGATGTCACCTGGTCCCATTTCCCATAATGCCGTGGAGTCTCCTCATTGACTGCTGACACTGGGCCCTGGCTCTACACTGTGACTTCCAACCACAGCCTCTTCCCTCAGCATGTGACACACACTGTCAGGCTTGGCCTCAGGAGTGGAGCTTGTCCAGGATACACATTTGGTCAGAGTCCTGTTGTGGTCACCCAACATGTAGCTCCCTCACACCCAGTTGCAAGGCAGGTGCTGCGTAAGCCTAAGAGCCTCTGGTTTGGGTGGGAAGGTGGCAGCCGGGGGCAGGCACAGCCTGTGTCTTTGGCTCCCATCTTCCGTGGCTTGCCCCACAGAGCCTCCCAGCTTCCCTGCCTTCTGGCAGCCCTGGTCTACCTCGTAGGTTGCTGTTGCCATCCTGAGGACGTGTGCAGACAGCCCCTGTTCCTCCACAGGGATCGTTGGCTGGCGGTGCCCGTGCAGACGTGGCAGATCTGCCTCCATTCCCTGCAGCGTGTGGATGTCTCCTGTGTCACAGGCCAGCTGACCCACCTGTCCCTTGTCCTTCGGGGGACACAGACAGTTAGGAAAGTGAAAGCCTTCACCTCACACCCCCAGGAGCTGAAGGTATGGCCTCTGGGACAGCAGAATTTTTGCTGTTCTGAGCCTGTCCCTGACTGCATGCTAGTGAGTGGCAGGGAGCAGCCCTGGTTCTGATGACAGTTTTATCCCCTCACTGTCACCATGGCCATAAAAACCACCTTTTGCTAGATGTGTCATTGAGGGTGAGTGATGGATAAACCTCAAGGGCCAGGCTTTACAGGTAAGTACTGTAGGACCTCTGGAATTAAGAAAGTTGCAGTGATGCACCTGGGCTGTAATGATGCAGGTTCCCACCTGCCAGAGCGAAGCCTCAGAACCCTGTCATTAGATAGGAGGTGGAGGGGGGTGGTCAGGGGGCTGAGGCTTCATGTCTGCATGGTCCAGGAAAGTTAAGTGGTCAGACCTGGACAACCTCTTGACCTTTGGACTCTCTGGGTCAGCCGGGCTCTATGCCCACGGAAAATCCATGTCTGCAAGCATGAGAGGCTGCACCCAAAGCTCTGCTCTTGTCCTTGCAGACAGACCCTGATGGTATCTTTGTGTTGCCGCCTCACGGGGTGCAGGACCTGCATGTGGGCATTAGGCCATGGAGGGCTGGCAGCCGCTTTGTCCACCTCAACCTGGTTGATGTGGACTACCACCAGCTTGTGGCCTCCTGGCTCGTGTGCCTCTCCTGCCGCCAGCCACTCATCTCCAAGGTCTGTATGAGGAACAAGTGAAGGCTGAGGGGTGAAGGCACTGCAAGACCTCTGCTGTGCAGAGAGTACCTGGGTGTCACCTGGCTGTGTGACTCAGACTGCCCAGATACAAGGCTGGGTGGGGGAAATACTTGCTCTTATATGTCTGTACCCTGGGGCACTCCAGATATCTCCGGAGGTATCCAGTGTCCAGGGCCATGTCCCAGGCGGTTAGACTCAGAAAGTACTTTAGAAGGCACCAGTGACTGTTCCCAACTTGTCTCTCTGTTCCCCCTCTCCCAGGCCTTTGAGATCACAATGGCAGCAGGTGAAGGGAAGGGTGCCAACAAGAGGATCACCTACACCAACCCCTATCCTTCCCGGAGGACCTACTGCCTACACAGTGATCGTCCTGACTTGCTGCAGTTCAAGGAGGATTTCTTCCAGGTATGACCATGAGGGGCAGACTGTGCTGTTCTCCCAGCCCTGGCAAGGGCTGTTGTAGGGTTAGCACTGTGTTCAGCAGAGGTTCTGTCTTCCCATGGGTCCTTCTGCCTTCATCTGGAGACCTGACTTCTAGCACCATCAAGGAGGCCCTGGTGGATGACCTGCCTTGCTCCTCATCTGTTCTGTGCAAACCCTGTTGCCTGAACCTCAGCTTCTTCAGTGAAGGCCCTTCAGGTGGCCATCTTTCCCTAAGTCAGGAAGACCCCTCTGTCATTTGCCAGAGTCAGTGAGCTTCCAAGAGGGAACAGTACAGACTCATGCTCCACCCATGCTGAATTAGCTTAGGCCTGGTGAGCAATGCCTAGTCTGCAGGGCTCCAGCCCTCCTGGGCACTGGGTCTTAGGCCTTCCTAGAAGTGACCTGCCTATCTCACATTTCTAGAAGCATGTAGAACAGAGGGGACAGGTCAGGGGTATGCTGGATTCCTGGTACTCCTTTCAGGTGGGAGGAGGAGAGACCTACACCATTGGTCTGCGGTTTGCACCCAGTGGGAGCCCAGGACAGGAAGAAATTCTGATTTACATCAATGACCATGAGGACAAAAACGAAGAGACTTTTTGTGTGAAGGTCATCTACCAGTGAACGCATGGGGAGGGGCCAGCCAGTGCCTGTCTCCCACACACTCTCCCTGTAGACCCCTCCCGGCCTCTGGCCTCTGCTGTGTGTGACCCCAGGACCCAACCAGATGGACTGTGGACTTGACTGAGTGTGGAGACTGAGTCCTTGGTCATTTTGTAACACCTGTGTCCAGCTAAGCTGCTGCAAACACCATCTGAGGCGCGAGGCTGTGTTCCCGGGCGTGGATGTGAGCTCTGGGCTATGATGGCAGTGGCCTTGTCTCTGCCCGAGTACACACGAGGCCACTTTGTCCCCCTGTAGCTCGTGGACGCTGTCACTGTCTAGAACTTTGTTTTGATTTGCTTTCAGCAAAGTATTTTGTGAATCAGCCTAAATGATAAAATTATGTTTTTCTTAGTGGGTTTTGTATGAACATAATGTATTATTTGCTACATGGGGTTTTATATGGTATTATTTTGTACTTGCTTTTTAAGTCATTGAATGAAATGCTATACTTCTACATGGTTCCTCTTCCATGGTTCTCTTGTGTTCTTCCCGATGACACAGTGTCAGGTTTCCTGTCCACAACTTCATTTCCCTTGAGGAAAATGTGACTGGGCCAGTCTGGTCCTGAGCCTTGTGCCCTTGTGGAGGGCCCCCTTGGGCCTGGCTGGCAGTAGGGTGAGGGGCTGCAAGCAGCAGGGATGGTTGGAGTGTGAGGGGCTCAGCTCCTCACTCCATCCTGGCGGGCACAGGCAGTGAGAAGTGTCCCTTTTCCATGGAGAAGCTCACACATGTCATTAACCTCAGCTGCTTCAGTAGTGCTGTGATCGTGATGCAGTCTGCATCTCTCAGAGAGGGATTTTGTATGCACTTTTTTGGATCCTAAAGGTCGGAGCTGTGGCTTTCTCTTACATGCCCTGCAGTGGCTACAGGAGGAACTATGAATGGGGAGCGGGAGTTCAGTACCATAACTCAGCACACAGACCAAGCTCCACCTCCTGTTTCTCCCCTGTTCCAGAGGATGGGCATTTTTTGCTTTGGCTGGGTTTTCTGGCAGGCCAGTGTTGAGCTCTACTCAGGTGGATGCTTATAAGCTATGTAGTCTCCCCCTAAGGAGGCTCCTGGAGTCCAAAGAAGACAGGTGCCAAGTCTCTGAGACCTGTGGGCTGAGTGCAGCATCTGGTGTGTCCATGATGAAGCTGGAGCCACAGCAGTTCAGGAGGTCCATCCATGGCAGTGACTACAGCTGACTGGTGACTTGGTCCTTAGGGATTCGACTTTCTTGTACTGGCTCCTCTGAGGCGACTGGAAAGGCCTTGGGAGGCCAGGGTGGTCCTCCCTCTCTTCTCCCTCACTTCCTCACTCACTAGTTCTCTATGCCTGGGCCTATGGTGTGTGGCCCTCACAGCTCTGGAGGGAGAGGGCAGATGATGATGGATGCTTAGCTATCTCTGGAATGGGAGGGATGGTGCTGTTTCCAGCAAGAAGAAAGAGGCTGGGAAGGTTCCCTGTAGGACACTGAGTTCCAGAGGAAGTGGATGGATGAGGGTGGGGGTGGAGTCTACCAGGCAGGGGGACAGCAGGCAGAGGCTGAGTCCCAGGGGAAGGCCATGCTGTGCCCAGGTTGAGTAGAACAGGCAACTGCAGCTTGGCCCTGGAAACTGTTGCTGGTGCCCAGGGGCCTTCTAAACCAGGATGAGGACTTTGATCTTCACAGAACAGTGTCAGGTAGTCTCTGAAGGGTCTTGGCTGGGCTGGGTGGAGACAAGACCTTGCTACATGTGACATGGAGAATGGACTGGAGCCATTGGCAGCTGCAGTGCCTAGGAAAGCTGAGACAAGAGGACAGACAAGGGCAGTTATATTGAATCAGCTGTGAATGGTAGAAACCCCAAGGTAACACTGTCTGAGCAAGATGGACGTTAATTTCTCTTACATTTCAGCATCCAGGTAGGTGACCCAGGGCTGGCATGGAGTTCCATCGTCACTGTGTCGATCTTTTTTCCTCTCGTTTTGTTAGTTTCATCAAGTTGTGTCCCAAGATGGCTGTTCTAGTTCCTGCCATCACAGCCACATCCTAGTCAGCAGGAAGGAGCAGATGAAGGGCCTGTCTTCTCCCTTAAAATTACTTGCCAGTAGTTGGACCTCCTTTTCTGAATGCATCTCTGAATTGGTTTTTTATTAGAGCCTGGGTCTGCCTTAGCCCCTGCCAGAGCTGACTGAAAGAGCAAAGGGGAGAAGAGCTCTTTGCCATGTATTTGGAGGAGGGAGAGTCAGGAGTTGGGTGTCCATGTCCCAGGTCCCTGGGCTGTGTGGGGCTGCTGGTCAGTTAGGAGGCTTAGGCCCTGAACCCCCACTACAGAAACAGCTCTGATCCCCGCTACTCCAGGACTCCCCATGCCTCAGGTGGGGTGTACAGGAGGCCATCTGTCCCTAGCCACATCTGAAAATAAGTTCCTATTGTTGTAAGTCACCTGTGGTTTTAAATCTATGGCTGTCACATATGGGCCAGATCAGCTGATACCCTGCCTCAAGTCCTTCTGGGGGCTCGTGCTGCTGTCTGAGTCACCGTGAGCCTGGGACAGTCACATTCTGGGAGGCTGCCGCTGTCACCTGGAGATACCAAGGTCTGATGAGCCTATCCATGGAGGAGCAGAAACAGGCATGATGGATCATCCCAGAGAGTGAGACCCACGGCATTCCACCCTCTGCTGTGCCTCGGTATCCCGCAGTTGGTGGTGGTGGGGACAACAGTGGGACGCTGCCCAAGTCCTGCCCTCCCAGCTTTCGTGCTACTTCTTGAGATTCACCCCAATGAAGGGCTAGTTCAGGTCAAGAATTTGGTTTTTATGTTTGGTTTTACTTTGGGTGACTAACTCAGCTGGCTACCTGTCAGCTAACTTCAGGTAAGTTAGCTCATTGGTCAGTTTTTTTAAAGGAAGAAAATTTTTTAACAGAATTATTTAATAGTGGAGAAAATGAGTGTAGGTTTGTTGTCCGTGTGTGTGCATGTGTGTGTGCGTGTGTGTGTGTGTGTGTGTGTGTGTTTGACATGACTGCAGATGTCTTGAGTCTTAACCATTGTGTCTGTCCCTGACTGACCCTAGCTGGGTTTGCCTGCATGTCTTCCCAGCAAACCATAAATGGATAAATTCATATGTGGGGCTTTACAATTGGACACTGGCTCCAGGGAGGCACCTGATTCTCCAATATCCTCTTAAGATAAACCAGGTGCATTCCAGCCAGGACGAAGTCACTTTTGTCCTAATCCATACACATGCCCCTCCTCCTGCCCAAATAACAGGATTTAACTGGTCTTGCTGCCACCCAGTCCATACTTCTGTTAGTAAGACCCCCCCCAGTAAATTGCCCTCTGCATGGTCCTGGATCTGTCTTCCTGTCTTTGGTCTCACAGCATCTTGGAGCTGAGTTGTTCTGGAATAATGTGTGTGTTTGTATCAAGCCTCCCTTGAATTCGTTGCTGTGTCTGCATCCCTGTCCATCCTAGAAGCTTTTGGAAGGAGAGGGCTGCACCATGTTTCAGGATGAGTCCCTGGAAAGCAGATCATTTGGAAGCATCAGTAGGAAAGAGCCAGGGAAGGAAGGAGCCCTAAGGACCAGGTGGCTAGCACTCCTCTACCCTCCCCACACCTCGAATCCTGGCCAGCCTATGTGCAGGCCGGAGAAAGCCCTGGAGAGTTGAGGATGTTTGCAGTAATGCTGGCCAGGACTGAAACAGTAGGGGGCAAGTGTCCTGGACAGGGTGACCACATCTACCCTGGCCTTACTGTTTTCTTTCTAGTTTATGGCTCAGGACACAGGAGAGCAGGATCCTGGAGGACCAGGCTTAGGAGGAATATTCCAAAGTGGTGGCCAGATGTGCTGGCCTCCACTCGATCTGCAGATCACTGTGCTCACAAGGTCACCTTTGGGCCCCTGAGGGGAGCTCAGGCTAGCCTCAGCCAAGGCTCTGTTCACCAGTCACAGAGCTCCTCCGAGGTGTAGAGCTGACTTTTTCCCAATGTGCCAGCTTCGTTTCCAGCATGTTGGAATCATTAGGCCAGGACTGAGCTCCTGACCTGGAGGTGAGTCTCCACCCTGGGCAGCCATGAGCCACACCAACCTCAGAAGTGCTGCTAGCTGTGCATCATCTCTGTGGGTGTTTCATTCATTGTCTTAGTGCAGATACCTTAGATGGGGTAATGTATAAACAGCAGATTTTTATTGCTGAAAGTCCAAGATCAAGGTGTCAGCAGATTTGGTGTGTGGTCTCTTGCCATGTCCTCACATGGTGGAATAAGCAAGGTGACTCTCTGGAGCCTCTTTTATAAGGGCACTGACCCCACTCATGAGGGCACAGTCCTCATTACATAATCCCAAGACCCCTTCTTACACCACACCTTGGGGACACAAACCTTCAGATCCCAGCCCCTTCTAGACTCCACTTTGATGAAGGGCCTTAGGGTCCATTTCCTAAGTGGCCCTCAGTGTAAAATCGAGACACATGAACACTCAGTAGGCACGTGCCACCTGCAGGTGAGCAGATCAGCCGGAAGCTGGGGTCAGGAGTTCTGCATCCAGCTGTAGCCCAGCCTGGGTGTCCTATACAGATGATAGTTGTGGTACACCAGGCTGGTGTGGGGCTGCCTGACCCAGGCTCTGGGGCTCAGACCTGAGGTGGGCTAGGCTGGGAAACCCTGGCAAACATTGGGTGTCAGCAGGGGTGAAGGCAGCTCCCTATGTAAACGAGGCCTGGGAACTCTGGGGTCATAGTGACAAGACCTGTGTCTTCCTGGGCCAGGAAGGATGCCAGGCACTTTTCAGATCTATTTCCAGTAATGTCCTCAGCTACTGTGCAGGGGTGATGCAGTGATGGTCACTTTGTTGACAAGGACCGAGGCTTGGCAAGGCTACAGAGCACTCAGGTCACACAGCCAGGAGGGATTGTAGCCCCAGAGCTTTCCCACCAACACGTCTCCAGGGGCACCGTTTACAACAGGTTCACAACCCTCATGGCAGCTCTGACCTCAGAGCCCCAGCTCCCAGCTGCAAGTTCCAGAACTCTGTGCAGATACAAGCGGTGCCTCACCTTCCTTTGCCCCAGTGAGGGATACCTAGGCATCCAACATTTGAGGGTGAACCAAGGCCTACTGGGGCTTAGACTAGTGTAGGCCAGCCCCTAATGGTGTGCCTGGATGGGGTCTCTTGAAGGTGAATCTCTGTTGTCTCTATGGTGACAGCATGTGATTCCACTGGAATCTGGCTTCTCCAGGTGTCACTTTTTCATGCACATCACCTTTTGAGCCTAAAGTCCAAACTCCAAAA